AGCACTGAAGGGAGCAATGCTTTCTACAGCTTAGTGAGGGCAGACAAGGCTGTTGAGGAACTGCTATATGGGTGTGAAGGAAAATTTATCAGTTTACTGAGCCTAACCAGCCCACAGAAGAAACAATAAACCCTAGGCTTAACTTCTGCAACAAAAACTGAGTTTTCAAGATTAAGAGATTTATTTATGTGTGTGCTAGGTCTTTAAGCCACTGTGAGACAAATTTGGAACTGTGGTCTCTCATATTTACACTGCACTTTAAAAAATAATCTCAAGTGGCAACTTTCTGCTCAAGACAGATGCTTCAAACAGCTCAATCTGTTTTCTAAAACAACAACTTGAATCTGGGTCAGAACCTGAAACACTTGAAATTGAAATCCACACTGATCAAATTGCTTAAAATGTTCTGCTTTTTTAACAAAATGGTTAATTCCAACAAAAATTAACATCGTAGTAGGTTTCATAATGCTGAGAGAGAACAGCGTGACACAGCTAGGTCACCTTACAACAGTTCATTAGCTGTGGTAGACGTTCTTAAGGGAGGGATTTTTGAAAAAAGGAAGTGTCTAAGTAAGTGCACAGTATCAGTGGATAGACAAACGTAAATGTAGATAAATAGTGTTTACCAACTTTTCATTATCTGGCCTGGTACACCAAATGAATGAGTTTACCCACTTTTTAGATTACTGCTATTATATGGGATTTAAAACATATTAGCTTTTCCACCACTTCACTCCTAATATTCCTCACTACTTTTATTTGTCAGATGCATTCTACTGCACCTGGATGTTATGTTCTTTTCAGTGGGAATTTATTTTTACAAAGGTTCATACAGTCCATAATACTGCTACAAGCTAGTCAGAAAGCATAGCTACAAAATACAGCAATTAAACGAATAATAATAACAACAGAAGAAGACATACTGTATATATTACTTTGTATATTACTTCCATCATATGTCTTACCAGAAACCTTTTATCATGTTAAAAAAGCCCATTCAACCCCCCAAATTGAACCAACAAATGATTCAATTATCTCTTTTTTGGAGAGACATGGAGAACAATAATGAAACAGCAAGTTACTTGCAAAATAAACTAATTAGATTTTATGTGCTGTACTAAATAAGTACAGCAAGGATTTACAATGGATTTCAAGGATTTACAGATGTTTCCTTGATTAAATTATGTCCTGATAACTGGCAATATCTAAGACATCAGCTATAGATTTGAGAGGTCTTCTCTCCTGGAAACACATCTTTAATCTTATGTACCATTTGTCTTGATTTAATTTCTTTCTCAAAATCACAGTAATCTAATAAAAGAGTAGTTGAATTAATAAAAATGTATGTTTATATATTGTCGTTCAAATCATAGACTTCAATTTTCCTATGTTAGAATACACAGTTGAAACTAGAAAAATCCTTGTTACAAATCCAGCTTTTCAGCTTAAAATTATGCATGTAAGAATAACCAAGTTAGCCTTTCATGAAAGTCCCAAAGCCGTTGCTTCATACAGTAAATCTTCCAGAGAAGTGCACTGGGCAGCAGGAGACAATTGCATTTACTAGCAATTTCTCAACACACTTCAGCAGTAGTTTTGTGCCAAGAAATATGCTCTCCTCTTACCTTTTGCTCTTGATGGAGAAGAAGGAGACGAGCTAGTTAAAGTCTTTCTAAGGGTGGTAGATGGGCTTTGCATATCTGTACGGCCCAGGCTAGGCCTGTTTGCATTCTGATGACTTACAGCAGGTTCCGACTTCCTTCTTTTTCTGTAGTCACTTGCAGTACTTGCAGAACTACAGGAATAAACAATATTAGCAGCAGTCTAACTCTGAGATCAGATTTCAGAATTTTAAAAAGTCAGCTCAAAATGATATGACTGGTTTATAGATTAAGCAATGCCAGAAAAAGTACATCAAAAACATGCAAAGGGGAGGAGCACTGGTCTCAGACATCTTACAGCATATTTCACCGAGAAAATACGAACAGCTTCTTCACCTGACTGCTTTAAAGTTTGATACAAAATTGCTATGTAATTTTAATTATTGCAATAAATGCATCAAATTTTTTTGACTGTTTTTTTGGTACTAGAAATGTAACGCAAATATAGGAAAAAAGCAGAGGCTGAGAAAATACAAGTTAGCAATTTTAGGGAAACGGCACGGAGGGTGCTGCAAGCAGTAAGGTTAAATGACAGCTTGATGATAACTGAGATAGAAGTTCAGGGATGTTATAGGAAGGATCCAGAATATAGGCTGACTTATTTTGAATGCAAACAGTAAGTTCTTTTAAAACAAAGGTAAGATTTACACTTCAGTATCAAAATATGAACACTCTCACCATGCATCTCTTTATTTTGTCAGTACTTTACAAGGTGTGTTAAAACCTGACTCTCTGTAACATCTGCTGGCTTCAGGTTGTGAAGAAAACCCTCAGACTGTATAATCTGTGTCTACCGAAATAATGTGTTATATTTCTTACCTAGAGGGCCTATCCAGGCCTTTGTCTGTTGAATAGTGATGATATAAGGAAGTCTGTGAAAACAAATATATGAATCTGTTAGAAATCCATATTTGAAAAAAGGATGAGAATTTCTGCTATGATGTTTGATTATGACTGTTACTCTGTGACAAATCCTATAAAAACAGAACATGATGATTTATATCCTGGGCACTCCAGTATAGATACTGCGATATTTCATGAGAATAGCTGTGCAGATTTAAAAAACCAACCACATATTAGATTCCATATTCTACTTCAGTAATGTTTTTTCTTCTAAAGCACTACTAAATAATGATCTAAAGTCATGCTTCTCTATACCCTTTTCAAAAATACATACAGAGCAGCTGAAATTAACTTTTACTATAAAAACCTGAAAATAACTCCTTCATGCATAAGTGAGGTCTGAAGAACTTCTTCTCCCCCCAGTTATTCACCAAAAACTCACAATCAATTATAGCCAGAAATATTTGTGAACCCCATAATGTTTGTGGCCAGTGGTTGACCACCTTATATTCCCAGTAAGAACAGTTCTTTTCTCTGAACATTAGTAGTTGATTATGGAGTTATGGGAGCGAACCCTGGAAAATGGAATAGAGTAGCGCCACATAATTTTAGTACTAATGCAATGTCAACCTTAAATGACCATTAATTATAAATCAATAATTTCATAAATTTACAGTCTGCAGTCAGAACGAGGTTATGCTACAATTCTGATAACTAGGTACGAATCTAGAATGAACTGTACGGTCCCTGGGCTATACATGGTTCCAAAGTTAAACTTGTCTTAAATTCCTGGATGTAATTTCAGAGCTAACCTGATGGAACAGAACTGTCATACAACTTTGAAAGCTGCAGGAACTATGCAGGAGTTTAGTTTCTGGACTATTTCACGACTTCTTCAACATGGCATGTTTTCATGCCACAAACTCTCATATGCATTTCATTGTGAGAGAAAGCTCAAAGTAAACACAAGTCTGGGAAAAAAGGAACCCTAGGTTTTGGCTATAACTACTCTCTCTATTATCTTCCAATTTATTTTGAAATGAAATAGGCTACGGGCCTAAATCATGAAACCATGGTGATGGTAACACTTCATTGTTTTAGTAATTTGTGTGTTTAAACTTGCAAGTATTTGCATCTCTTCAGAATGGAAGCAATGCAAGACTCGTGTGCTCCAGAAGTGATATGTCTTTGCAAGATTTTCAAGTCAATTTTTTTAATATTCTGTCACCACATTAGAGGCAAAGCTGAGGCAATTTCTTGGCTGCATCAGAAATTCTTACCTGATCGATACTGTTAAATTTTTCCTGTCAAAGCTCAATTAGCCCCACACCTCTGAAACTGCTTCCAGACAACAAATGTGGTTCTCCTGTAATGCTGTATTGTTCTTTCTGACAAAAATTTTGTTTTATAATAAAATGGGAAACCAAAATAATAGATTTCCTGTTTTTCACATCCTTATCCTTCTACTGTTGCACTGCATCAGGGATTTTCAGGTTGTGGAAACTGATGCTCAAGTTCTGGCCACGTACATCTCTGCTTCCATGACATGGTATGGAGTAAAGAGGGGAGTGAGAAATACAAGCTCAAAAAATTACTTTAGTGCTATACTAAAAAAAAGGGCTACATGCCATGCAGTCAGTTTCAGCTCATCCGATACAACCTCCAGATAAATAAGAAGAGACATGATCTCCTCTATTCATCTGTGTCTTATTTACAGTAGAGAGTGACATACATGCAACCCACAGCATGTGCACTACAGTAAGAAGGAGGAAGGGGCATTAAAGAAGTTATCAATGGCAGTATGTCCACCTGCTAGGAATTACTATAGAATTTATTCTCTGTAAATTAACATGTCCCAGGCAACAATAATCCTCAATTTGCAGCACGTGTAGGAGAGATCTTCACACCATCTGGGAACAAAGGTGTTAACCAAGAGGAGCAAGGTGAGGTAGGGTGATGTAGCCTGTGTTCTCGAGGAACAGGGAAATGTGCATCAGTGATGTCAGAAGGATGGGGCTCTCAGTGGGGCAGGTCTGTTGTAGCAATGACCTGTTGGAGGAAGACTACCAACATTACTGATCGTGTGTCCAGCTTCTCCCAGGGCTATGCGTTTCCATCAGTGAAGGTTTATTTCACTCATACAATGATGTGTACCTTTCCCAGGTGGATTTCCATGCAGTGATGTCCTTGTATGCTTTTTTTCACAATAGGAGAGTACACAAGACTGTGGAATACAATCAGATTTTATCACAGCACCTAATATTTATTTGATAAATTTGCCAAAACACATCTATTTTTCTGCAAAGAAACGTGACGTTATTTCTTACAAGTTTCCCAGCAAGACACAGATTTCAAGGTTTGAGGGTTTAAAAAATAATCTGTCATTGCATTGTATGACACTTCGAAATAAAAACTGATCTGTGGATTCAAATGTGAAGACCAGACACAGATAATTGTTGACTGAAGTATTTTAAGTACTGTAACATAGGTCATGAAGTCAATGGACTTGCACATTAGAGAGAAGCTGTACTGTGAAGCAAAACCATACCATCTGCTCTAGGAAAGGAGCAAAGAATCAACCTCATTCCACCAGCATTTTAAATAGGATAATGCTACTAGTACTTAGGAAATTATATTCTTTCTCAGTATTTGGAATGTGTATGGGGCTCATGATGAATGCATTCTGTTAACCTATGCTGTATGAACAAAATATATTTGTATTTATTTTTTTAAAATACATCCTGATGAAGGTATTTATTCCCAAGTCTTCACTGTTCATACAGTTACTATATTTTCTCTACATTCTCCTAAAGCTGAAAACTGACAATTCTCCCATCACTATCCAACTTCAATGATTTTAAAGTAAACATCTAATACTATGAAGTCTGTCTGCAATAAAACCATACAATCCAGCAGCAGAGTTGCTCACACCAACAGCCAGTGTAACCGCAGTTCTCCTCATATTTCTACACAACAGGGTGAAGCAAAGGCCTCGTGTCTGTGTGCTTCACTACACTACCCAAAAAACA